CCTAATTACATTTTTAAATTAGTTTGACTTATGATAAGGAATATTAGCAAAGTTAAATTTTTCGAAATACTTCAATTATAAATTACAATTACATCATTTCAACTATTCAATAATAGTTTATAATACATTCAAAAATAATTTACAATAATTATTCTAGAATGTTTTATCTGATGTAAATAATCAATAAATTACTTTGAAATTAAGTTTCTATTAGAGTCTAAGTATAAGAATTAATAATATCATTATTTCTTAATTGCTTTTCTATTATTAATATGATTTGTATTATAAAAATATAATATTAAAATATGGAATATATTTAATTTATCAATTATTTTTATTTATTTAGATTAAAAAATGAAAAATCTTTTAGTGTAAATATCTTAATCATGAAAATGAAGAAATAATTGGATTTTGCTTGAATCAGAATTGTGAAAATGCAACTTAATATTGTTATATTTGTTTACATACTTTTCACATAGAAAATGTTAACTATTTTATTAGATTCACGAAAATGATCTAATTTATAGAGGAATTAATACACAGTTACAATAAATTAAGGAATAAATTCAATAAAAACTCTCAGCAACTTTAAAATTATTTTGAATAGATAAAGGAGAAAGAGAATTATATATGTATGATTTTTTATTAATTATAATAGAATAATACATAAGCCATTAAGTGTTTAGATGAAGCTATTTCCATAAATCCAAAATATGAAAATGCATGGATCAATAAAGGTAAATTAAATAATAATTTAGGCATCACATTAATCTGTTTAGAAAATTTTATTTATTTGCATAAAATAAAGAAATTTAAAGATTCTATATTTTGTTATGACTAAGCTCTATCATAATGTATCAATCCATTAACATTAAGACTTAAAGGTATATTAACTATAATTTAAATTTTGCTGATTCTTTAAAATTTCACAATACAATCTTTAAAATATTGGAATTAGGCAATCAAAATGAAGCTAAATAAAGTTATTTATTTGCATTAGAAAATGGATCAAAAGAGAAAGATTATATATAGAAATAGATTAAAAAGTTATGAATCTTTATCATATCATAAATTTCCCATTATTTATCAAATACTTTAATTTATTAGAATTCTCCTTATTTATTTTAATTTTTCTAAAATTTTAACTTTAACAAAATCAAATTAAAATGAATTCAAAATAAATTTTAAAATCATCAAGAACTACTTTAAAGAACATTAAATTTAATATAAATTTAGAATTATTTTTTCTCTTGTTTTATTCCAAATTTTATTAGAATAGATAATTTAGATTAAAAAAAAATAATACTTAATAAAGATGAATTCATTATTTATCCTCTTTTGGTTTCCATAATTCTAAGTTTTATTTTTTGTTTAATTCTTTTGCATTATTATTTTTAATATTTTCTAAGATTCTAGAATAAATTCAAATCTTCTCATTTTTTTTTGTAAATTTTCTGCTACTTAAAAACAAAATAATTTGTAATAACAGATATATTAAATAAATTTTTACAAATACATAATCTATATTAATATGATACAGATATCAATTGATATCTCATCTATGAGTTTTGCTACAATTTAATAATTATTCTTGTAATAGGTTGGAAGTCTTGCCATTTATTTTAAAGTTTAGAAAACTAAGTGAAAATAGTTTTGATAGCAACTAACCAAAAATATTCTCATTTTAATTCTTTAGCATCAAAATCAGATAAGGAAGTTTTAAATTTAACAATATTTTTTAATGATGAATGGTGTTCTTATCCTACCATCAAGTGTGATGTCAATAAAATTAAAATAGTAAGATTATAAGCAAAGTTTTAATTAAACTAAATTTCAGAACTATATATTAAAATCGCTAAGACTTCAGCTTCACTATCTGCATCCTAAGTTATTTAATATAACAATCCTTTTGAATAAGTTTTATTAAAAATAGAAATATAATGATTAAGCATAAAAATTTGAATATAAATAAATAATTAATTTTTATTCTTCATTTTTGATGATATTAAAATTTTTAGGTTAAAGATTGATTGAAAAAAACTAAGGTATATTAAATGATTAAGAATTACAATTTAAATTATTGTATTAAATAAAATATTAAAATATAATGAATTTAACTAAATAATTGGTTTAAACTTCATATTGTAGTACTTTCTTTTCCAATATTTTCAAATTGCCAGGTTACCTTTATTTCAATGTCTATGCTATATCCTTTAATTAAATTTCAATAGAGCTCTGCTTTAAATCATGATAGGATAATTACAATCTTAGATTTTCTTGTTGATTGTATTATACT